ATTTACTTATTTGATAAGTAGCCTTGTAATAAGTGTGATAATGTACAATAATTTGGACATTATTGCAAAATAAACGACATATATGAGTAGTAACCACATGATTATTGATATAAAAAATAAAAGTTTTTACTAGAAATAATTGTATTTCTGATATGTGAAATTGGAATTTCAACTAGTAAGAAATTAATTCTTGATATCAACAATTGATTTTGAATGGCAGCCTATGGTGACATTTAACTAGTGAAAATACAATTACAGATATCAAGAATTATAGTTTTTACTAGTTGAAATGTAATTCCTGATATCAAAAATAGCAATTGTATTTAGTAGAAATCTAATTCCTGATATCAAGAATTAACATTTGAACTAGTAAAAATTTAATTGTTGCTATCAAGAATTCATATCCTGAGAATGAATAAAAGTCAAAACGGCTTGCCATATAGAAGTACTTTTGAAATGACATATACACATGTACTAAAGTCCTACTTAAGTGGCTCAAAACAACAATCTTAAGTTCAACTACCTGCATTTACTACAAATTCATATTAATTTAGTTGCAATTAAAATGCAATTAAGTGTCCAAAAACATTACATTCAGTTTGCACTTAAGTATATTCTTTAAAATTATACAATTTTCATAAAAAGTAAAAGTTTCATAAAAGTTTTTTTTTCTTTTTTTAAGTATTCCTCAAAGTACTTTGTTTTCATAAGAGCAGATCAAATGAGTAACTTGTCAACTACTGTACCTCTTCCCTATAGTGAATCATGGTACACCCATACAGAGAATGTTATGCTAGCTGATTCCATCTTTTAGTAATAGCATCAGATGGTGCTGCAACCATACAAAATACCCAGGGCATCACCATAATAGTTTACTGACGCTATGTTTTCTTTGTAAAGCAGTTAAGCTTTATCACAATCCTCAGTGATAAACACAGCATGCAGGTAATCCCATAGCAGAGATACCATTGAAATGCCCTCATGTTGAAATCATTAGCATTGCTGGGGGTCACGGGGGTCACCACCCACAGCGCACAAACAAATGCAACATGATGCTGAAATCACAATATAAAAATACTTTTAGTTAAAACAAAGTGAAAATTACTATATATATTTTTATTATTGATATCTTTAGCGCTTTCATTTTACAAAACTAAATATAAATCTAGGTGCAGATATTTAGGCAGTTTTCCAGTAAAAAGCTCAGGCTCAACACCAGATGGATCAATCTCAGGAAACTGTGCCATTTGTGGTCCATGTGTGTCTCATGACTTGTAGTACTGAAATTAATCTTGAAGAATAAACTTATTTTACTGTATATATTTAATATATATAATCAATATAACACCACACTGTCATTTGTTTTACTCACTCTTACTTCAATCATTTGTGTATTGGAACTAGTTGGTTTAAATGTATGTGCTAAGTATGTGCTTTATAGCTGTAATGGACAGTGAGCTAAGAAGTTCTCAGCTTTTATAAACACTGAAATTCTAAGCATCTATAATGCTCAGCCATGAAATACGACTTCACAAAAATGTGGTCCATCTGGGGAAAATTGAGCAATTTGCATAAAAAGGAGGGTGAAATTACAAATAAATAAGATTTATTATCCAATTCCAGATCTTTTTGCCGTTCTCATTATTTTATTTTCATAACAGCATCCATAAATCAACCACAAATGATTTGCTGTAATGTTTGTAAGTGCTGAAACAGCTTACAGATCTGTGAAAGTAATGGACGTAATGACATTTGTGGACAGTTGGGCAAAGATTCAAGGAGACAACATAAAACCAAGAACGAAGAATTCAAATAAAAGAAACCCTTTAATAAGATGGCATCAGCACTTTCAGAAACAAGAATTCTTAGAAGGAAACAAAGAAAGATTACATAAACTGCACATTCCACAAATATGGTACTCTTTGAGTTACACAGCAGATGTTTGACCTTTTTGACTAAATCATACATCATAATTTTGACAAAAAGTCAATTTTGTGTGAAACCCTGTTACTGCATAATTTTCTCCAATTCAAAACTTAAACATTTCTTACCCAGAAATAGTATTATTTGGACCACTTGTCCATTTCTGCATTTCCGTCATACTTCAAGCTCAATCATTCAACCCTGTTATCCAAATTAGAGTAAAAATTATCAAACCAATCATTTTTACTCCCTGCTTTAATTTATAGTAAATATAATGTAAGTTCATGAACAAACACAAACCACCAAACTAGCTTTACTCACAACTTCATTTAGGCTAAATTTGCAACCCTGTTACTTGTGAAGATTGTTAAAGGTTTGTAAAATTTGCAAACCCCATACCAATTGACAGTCAATAAAACAAGCGATACAATATTTAGTTTGGCCTACTGAAGTTGATGGTCAACATATTCTAAAGGCTGAGCACCCTTTCACTGACCAGTTCTTGAAAATGAAAAACATTTTTAAGCCTTATTTTACAAAGTGCTGAATATCTGTTATAAGTCTGAACACTCCAACTATAAGGCAAGATTTGTTCATGTGAAACTATTCAGCTTTCCTACTGTTGTTCAAGACTTCTGCTTTGGCACATACATTTGTAGGAAAAATATTGCTTCACTAATTCAATAAAAATAGCATCTGACATTTTAGGCAACTGTGGTGTAACTTCACATGTTTGGCCTATTTATTGTTCTAGCTTTGACCTAAATAGTGATTATTTTAAAGTATTAAGGTTCAAACATGCAAGAACTGAGTGTGGAAAACTGGTCATTATTTAAACGTGTGTATTTCTTTTTCAGATATTCTTTAGTTTGTAGTTTTTAGTGTAAACAATAAAGAACTGTACATCTGTCAGCAGTGTAGCTCTTATTTCAATGGAAATGTTTTTGTGTTCCTGTAGCCATTGATTACTGTGTTCTTGAGCAAAACACTTCATCTGTGTAGTAAGTGTGCTGTCAATTGTCTTAAAACATTAGGCTACATTTTTACCAGCCCTGTGCTTTTGTCAGCTACTTGTTGACTTTTATACAGTATATTTCTAGTAAATAAAGAGAAGTAAATTTGACTCACAGATGTTTTCTGCATTCTTTCATTTTGATGAATCATCATACAAAATACTGTATGTGGTAACAATGCGAACTGACCTATAGTACACTGAATGTTATTTTTAGTCTAAAAACTTCTGTTTTTACTTATAAGAAATACACAGATTTTAATACAAGTTAAGCTCAGTCAACATTTGTGTGATAATGTTGACAAAAAAATATTTTGACTCACCCCTCATTTCCATAAAATTGAGGCTAAGATGAGGCACAATGGAAGTGAATGAGGCTTAAAAATATTAAAAGCACTTACGTTGACCTTTATGTTAAATTTCATTTTTATAGTTGTTATACCCCCAGTTTCACAGTCAAGGCTTAAGCCTAGTCCTAGACTAAAATGCATGTCTGGGCTGTTTTACCTGAAAGAAACTTGCACTGACAGATCTTAAAATATGTCAGTGCCATTGCTTTGTCTCAAGATGCACACGAGTAATGTCATTTTCTAAGGCACGTTTATAAAAGATACTTACATTTTCTAATTGAACTATGGCCTAAACCCGGCTTAACCTAAGCCCTGTCTGTGAAACCAGGCCATAGAGTTTCATTGTCATGCCAACAAAGTTGTAAAACTGGATTTAACTTTACATAGAAATGGTTAATAAGTGACATTTCACACTAAAACATGTTAATATGCATATTTTTTATGTATTGAGGCTATACTATTAAAACACTGAGGCCCGGTTTCATAGACGAACTTTAAATATTTCACATACTTTTGAAACTCCAGCGTTTAGTTGATCCTGATAAGCGCTCGTCGTCACAGTTGTAAACACGACGGCTTTCTTCATTCGTGAGGGGGTTTGGCGTCACCGCATCTTTGTTTCCAGACGGAACGTTACAGAATGCGACACACACGTCTCCCGGAAATCCTGTACAATTCAACCAATCCGATGACGACTTCGAAACTCCTGAAGTGTTTCCACTTTTGTGTGCCGTATGCATCAGACGTTTAGCCAACGGTCCGAGGGCGTGACGTCTGAGGCTGAGACTAGGGCTTAGCCTAAACCAGGATTAGGTCATAGTTCAATTAGGATAATTAAGTAATTTTTATAAACATGCCTTAGAAAAAAGCATTTCTGGTGTGCATCTTAAGACAAAACAAAAGCACTGACATGTTTTAAGATCAGTCAGTGCAAGTTTATTTCAGCTGAAAACAGCTCAGATTTACATTTTAGTCTAGGTCTAGGCTTAAGCCTTGTCTGTGAAACCGGGGTGAGTATTTTAAAGTTTAAGGATCAATCCTATTCACTTACATTATATGTTCCTCACTGTAACCCAGATTTTATTAAATTTTTTGCTTTTATTTAATAATCTACAGATAAAGCAGTGTAATTCTAAGACATTAGCATAATCAAGTTTATTGATTCTGTGGAGTGCATCCAAACACACAATAATAAGTGAAATAATTTTTTAAACAAAGTCCTTTCAAACAGAGCTGAAATATCATTCCTCAATACTACTCTCAGAGATCTTAGAGAAAAGTATATTATTTCCTTTCATATGGTTACAGGCGAAATTATATATGATTTTTAGATATATTTACATTATATGTTCCTCACTGTAACCCAGATTTTATTAAATTTTTTGCTTTTATTTAATAATCTACAGATAAAGCAGTGTAATTCTAAGACATTAGCATAATCAAGTTTATTGATTCTGTGGAGTGCATCCAAACACACAATAATAAGTGAAATAATTTTTTTAAACAAAGTCCTTTCAAACAGAGCTGAAATATCATTCCTCAATACTACTCTCAGAGATCTTAGAGAAAAGTATATTATTTCCTTTCATATGGTTACAGGTGAAATTATATATGATTTTTAGATATATATATATATATAAATATATATATATTTTTTAATTACACAACATACAAAATAGATGATGCATTAAATACATATTTACTGTAATGTGCTAAATAAGGAATGAAAGCCAGTATTTCCCAACCAGTTTGTCAAAATATATTTTTAGTCCAGTTGAAGCTCTAGAAGTTATATTTAAAAAAAAAAAAAAGCTCAAAGTTTGTTGAGTTCAGGTGCGTTTGAGGTGATCGCTGAGCACATCAGACGGAGGAGTTGGCCGTGGTTTCTTCAGGAGAGCTGCTGGGCAGTGCTGATTCTAACTCCGTCGCAGATACAGACTGACTCAGCTCCCTCAGCGAGCTCTTGGTGAAGTTCAAACATGACCTCCTCACCAGTTTACGCACCTTCTTGGTTAGTAGTACGTACAGAATCGGGTTGACGCAGCTGTTGAAGAAGGCCAGGCTGGTGGCGAGTGGGAAGCCCACGATGAGCACGGAGTGCAGGTAGGTGGTGTGATGCATGCTCAGCTCCATTAGGCTGAACGTGTGAAACGGCACCCAACATAGGAAGAAAGCTAGAATCACAGCAGAGACGGTTCTGGAAAAGCTGGTCAAACGTACGAAGTTGGACTGGCGCATCTTAATAGCCAGCAGAACGCCGCTGATGGTGATGGTTGCAAACGGAAGCAGAAAGCCCACGACGGTGCGCAGCGACACCATCGCAATGTGCCTCACCGCTACCATGTGCTTGCTCTCATCGTGAAAGTTATTAAAACACACAACCTTCCCGTTATGCTGGATTACGTCACGGAATATCAAGGCCGGACAGCTTAGACAGCAGGACGTGATCCAAATCAGTGCACACACCCACCAGGCCCTCCGGACGTTTCGGTACCTTTCCGACCAGTTCAGGTGGACCAGTGAGATGTAGCGATCCAAACTCAGGACGGTCAGAAACAGCACGCTGGCGTACATGTTCATGGTGCACACGAATGAGTTCAGCTTGCATATGGTCTTCCCGAAGAGCCAGTGAAAGTCGTGCAGCACGTAGTCAATGGAGAATGGCAGGAAAAGCACAAACACAAAGTCGGCGATGGCCAGATTCTGCAGCCAAATGCTGTTCACAGTCCGTTTGCTTTTGAAGGCGGTCACCCAGATGACCATGCCATTCCCAATTACACCCAGAGTAAACGCCAGGCTGTAGATAATCACTGATATGATGTGAAGAGCTTCTCTCTGAGTGTAGCCTCCAGCCTTGGTCTCCTCTACATATTCATAATCCATGTATTCATAAGTGTCGTTTACATAGTCCCCGTCTTCTTGGGTCATCATTCTATAGACAAAATAGGAAAGAAAAAACACAAATAAGAGCTCTTTAATATCTGTTTTAATGAGATTAAATGGAGATTTTTGCTTAAAGGCGATGTTTGTATCAAATATTTTTCCTTGATCACTCCTCCGCCTGCCATTGGTCGGTTAAACAGCTAGCCCTGCCCCAATCTCACACTATTGGTTGAGTCAATGTGGCTGTGTTGGGCTGCTTGGAACGTTCAAGCAAACAGACAACCTACGCTCATTCGAGAAACATGCCTGTGGCGATATTTCTGCAAAATGATATTACATTGCTTCTTGCCCGTTTTGCGACACTTTCAAAGTGAAATATCTAATGAGTGAAATTAAAAGCGATTTCATTTGCAAAACAAATGAATGTGAATCCTGCAACGCATTATTATTACGTTGGTTGCTGTACATATTGTAAAAGTAAAAGTGAGTGGCGAGAGAAGGTTAATGATAGTGTTAACAAAAGCAAACATGAGATCAATCATGCCATTTTAGCTTGTTTCTATAAGTTTTTTCATGACTTGTGTTTCATGGTACTCGTACCGAGTGCAAGAGTCACATTGTACCAGGTGAGCTACTGAGCAAGTTTACTATGTCAGAAATGCATCTAAATGTATTAGTTTAGAAATCGTGGTGAAAGTGTTTTGAGGTCATGACATAGTAGTGGGCAAGGGATCTCACAAACCATGTAATCATTTTTGTGAAAAAGAATATAAGTTGTTGGTGTTTTACTGCCTCTCAACAGCAGTGAATTCTGAATATATGTATGTTTTTGGAACAATATTTTGATAGCACCACAGGGTCTTTTCAGAATCAAAATACAAATGGTTAACTTGCAATTGACTCTACGTACTAAACATTAAATGCTATTTCAACCTTATAAAAATACACACATTTCAACAATGTTTCAAACTGTATTTGACAATCAAAAGTAAGATCATTTTTAGTTAAATTCCTTTTTTTGCTCATTACTTTTACTGTCTCATTTGTATCTATTTTGATCCCTTCTAGGAGATTTTAAGATTTTAAAGGAAAATATAATATACAAAGTCAGCACATAGTCGAAACATAATAGATATCCAATAAGGCACCTGGTAATTGTAACGGAGTCTCTCTACTTTATGGCTACAACATGAAAATATTGAAGATATTATTATGATGGCATTTTCTCTGAGTAGGCCTAGACTGAAATTGATCCCAGATTTTGCAACTAACTTGGCGCCTCAATCCACACGCACTTTGAAAGACATATCAGAGTTTTATAGAATTACCTGACAGCGTCCTGCTCACCGACTTCAGCTCCTCTGCAAGAATTACTGTGTCGATTTCACAAAAAGATTTATGATATCCTTGATGGGTGTTTTTCCTGTTATTGTTCCCGGAGTAGAATGATTGAGTAGAACAGAGAGGGAGAGAGAGGGTAAGAGAGGTATGAGTGAAAAGAAAAGACGTGGGCTGAGTCTGGAACTTACACACACACACACACACACACATGTTTGTCCCTTCATAAAATCATTGCTGTGTTTTGTTTTGCCAGCATGCATTGCACACAGAAGGTTTTTATGATACAACTCTGTCACTAACTCACAAACCTCTCACTCAAGAGGAATGTTTCACTTGCAGGATCTTTCCAAATGTGCTTCCAGGGGACTTTATGATCCTAATGAGAGATACATGATTATTCTCTCTGTTGTGATCTGGTAATAAATGTGCCTGCAGTTACAGTATGATGGGGTCAACATAAGGCAGCTCATGTCACAACTGAGCTGTCATCGCATGAAAATGGTGCAAAGAGCAACAGCTGATATAATATTGCAATTATGCCACACCACTGCTTGAACAATAAGGGCAGAGATGTTTTCATAGCTTGCCCTGCAACATATAACTGGTTTCAGATAGAACCAAAACAAGCTTTTATAGTCTGCTGCCACTGAAGCACCTTTTCAAGTCTCTCAACTTTTTATTCACTTGTAGTTCTTTACAAAACCATTATGACGAAACATTTATTAAATTAATCTAGACCTTCAATAACTTTTGTCTCCAAAGCAACATAAAACTCAGAAATGCTTGAAATGCTTGTGCCAAATTAAAGGGCGATAGAAAACGGTACTTTTTTATCGTGTAATGAGTGTAATGAATTTAGTGCGTCTGTGGTAACTGTTAACTTACAGTTCATAATCAGAATACCGTTTTATAATAAACTAGTGAAATAAACAAAAAGATATTGTAATAAAACCGTCACCACACCTTGTTTGTTGTCGAGGATGTTGTTGTTCGCTAGAGTAGGTCGCAACCCCCAAAAGTTTACGCAAATGTTTCCCCCGTTTGTTGGAAGTTGTACAGCCGCGTATATTGTCCTCATATACTAACAGTGGTTCGGTGGAGACTTCACACAGTCCCGAGAGCCGATAAATGGACTCATGCACTGACCAGAGCCGATATTACAAAGAAGCGACTGTGCGCACGCTCTCTCTCTCTCTCTCTCTCTCTCTCTCTCTGTCTCTCTCTCTCTCTCTCTCTCTCTCTAGACTGAAAGAAGCGACTGTGCGCACGCTCTCTCTCTCTCTCTCTCTCTCTCTCTCTCTGTGTCTCTCTCTCTCTCTCTCTCTCTCTAGACTGATTTTTTTGTGACACTGAAGACTCGAGTAATGATGCTGAAAATTCGGCTTTGCATCACAGGAATTAATTACATTTTAAAATATATTACAACAGAAAGCAGAGTTCTGTTCACAACCCCAAAAAATGGCTCTGCTATTGTCTGATTAAAAGTGATTAAATAAGTTATTATATTACCTGCTATAATAACATGAACCCTTTAGGTGTAAAGAAGGGTACTGCTCCAGTGACAAGCTGTTGTACCCTTAAAGGTACCATTTTTGCACATATGTTGTTCTGACAGTGTAATGACCAGTTAATACATTTACAGACCTCTAGTCTCTTACTTTAGTAGATACTACAGCAGTTAGACCCTTCACAGTTCTTTCAGTATATACAAATGACCTGCATATGTCTATGGTTTGTAATCAGCTCGAATCTTCTGTCAAAATCCAGTCCTAGATCTATGTTTTTGGGCAACCGCTGCCCCCTGCTACACTGAAAAAAAAAAAAAACTGTTGAATTAACAAAAAAAAATATCGGTTGCACATATTAAAGTTATATTTACTCAACATGATTTTTATATGTTAAAGCTACATAATTTATGTTGGCTAAATGAACATGATTTAAATATGTTAAAGCTATATAAATTATGTTTGTTAAATGATCATGATTTTTATGTTAAAGCTACATAATTAGTTTGTTAAATGAACATGATCTATATATGTTAAAGCTACATAATTTATGTGTTAAACAAACGTGATTTTAATGTCTTTCATTTTTTATATGCAGTGGTTTCTCAATAAATAAAACTAACCTGGTTAGTTCTAGTTTTCGTTTTTGTTTTGTTTTAAAAGCAGTAAGACCAGTCAAAATTTTGTTTAACTTTCTTGAAAGAACTTTCATTTCTGAGTGGACATTCCATTTTAACCAATCAGGTTTTAACCACTCAGGTCCTTTTAACCAATCAAATTTGACCAGGAAAAAAAAACAAACTATACACATCAAACAACCACAAAATAAAAAGTGGCCAACCTACTCTATAAACAGTTGATTCTGTATGTGTGGTATACGTTTTCTTTGTGAGTGTGTGAAATGAAAAAAGAAACACAGTGGTCCTCATTCCAAGAGGAAGTACCTGCCATACCATGGAAACAGCTCACTCATAGAGTCGGTTTCTAAGAACTTGAGCTTCCTTTGATAGAGTGCAGCCTTCCAGCTCTATGACTTCTTTCTGCAGTACCTCAAAGGTATATTTCATTTCAGGTGGGTAGTTGAGATTTAAAGCATACATTAGACCAAAAAGCATTGCCGTAGCTAATGCAAAGTTGTCCAAGCCTTGCAAGACGTTCTGGCCTTCAAGGACAATCCTGATGTCCTGAGATCCGTCATGAAATTTAAGGACGTAGATTCCCACTGTGGTGGTCTCATTGGATTTTTGGATGAAGGCTTCATCAGCAGTCTGCAGAATGCACAGACAAAAGATTTAACAGAACATTGGGCACTTCTCTGGGAATATTATAAAAAATTTAATTTCAATCAATTAATAATGTAGATCTCATGAAAAATGTGAACTTGTATATAATGAGAACAAGACAAGGCCAAGAAAATCACGTGACACGGGGTAAATTTAGTTCCGCTATGGGTCTGCGGCTATGCTCTTTTCTCAAATATCCCTTCTTAC